GTCTCTCTTTTTTTGAGGATGATGAATAAAAAAAAAACAACAGAAAAGAAATTCGTTAACATCAGACTGTCTGTAGAGACTATTCAAAGGTGAATCACAAATAAACTTAAATAAAGATCTATCATACACATGGAACACAGTATTCTCTATTAGCAATAGTAACTTATTTATATTATTAATTGTATGTCATCATCACAAGTTAAAGAACAATATAGTATCTAAAGACTGCGGAGACCATGAATTCTTACTACTAACAAAGAACAAAAAAAAAGAAGAAAACTCCGTGATATATAAATGTGAAGATGAAAAAAAAGAAGAAGAAAAGATCAATTTTCATCGATATTTACTTTACATTCACTCAAATAGGACATTCCATCGTATACTATATTATTCAGAACAATATATGTAGGACACAAAATAGTGAGCAAAAAAGCTTTGTTAAGAAAAAGAAGATCTTTAAGTTTTTTTGTTTTTTTTTTTGTTCCTGCTCTGGATCATTGCCAAATTCATTTTTTCCGTCTGTCCTTCCGTTCCATATTGTCATGAACTTTCTTTTTTCTTTCTTTTTTTTTTTTTTATTAAGATTTTCATGGTTGAATTTGATGCGGGATATGAATGAATATATATATAGTTGACTTAGATAGTCTAGATTTTTTTGTTTTTTTTTTCTCTTCAATTACAATAAATGGCGAGGCGCCCGCGACTAAATTTTTTCTTATTTCTTCAGACAGTCCATTATAGCAAATAAACTAAATATTATTTATTACATCTATTTAGTTTATTAAATAGAAAAAATATTTTTTTCTTTCTTTTTCTTTTCTCGTTGCTTAATACTTCATGCCCTTTTGAAAAAACAAACGTTTTATTTATTTTTTTTTTTTTTTTTTTTTTTTTTTTTGAAAAGTGAATGTGATTATTTCAAAATGACATTTCTGATTTAACTTCAAGTAAGTGAGTAGTATAGTAACAAAAGAAAAAAAAAGTTTTTTTTTTTTTATGTATCTATTAACAACGGTAATCACATATTCGTTAGTTTAAAATTACTAAACTACTAAATTGTTAAACAAAAACGTGTAAATGAAATTGGAAGTGTATAGTTCTCCTGTTTACTAATTATATTAATCATACGGTAATCGAATATATATATTCAAGATACATTTGTTAGTAAATCTCGTAATATTAATAATTCTTCAGTGACATTGAACAAGAATAAAATCAAGGTCATACTTCTAGGGGTTTGTCTCACATTCTACAAAGACAAGATGATCGCAATAATTTTCTTATTTTTTTTTTTTTCTTCAGTTTATAGCTTTATGTCTCATTTTGTACTCTAAAAAGTCTTGGTAACTGTAATTATTATTATAATTTCTGTTTCTGTATAACGACAATTTTGTAGAAGTTCAAAATGTTGCTTAGAATAGAAAACTTTGGCTTTTTTTTTAATTTTATTTTTTTTACATTTTTCATCTGTTTAAGATATACGTAGAAGAATGATTATTTTTTCGAGAAGGTTTTACATACAGGACAGTAGATTCTAAAATTAAAAACAAAAAAAAAAACAACTTTGTCCTATCTTTGAGATAGAAAAAATTGGAAAATATGTCCAAAAAAATAAGAACTGTCTCGTTTTGCCTCTTTCTACTAAAAATAGGACAGAATTGTATGTTATTTATTTTAACTTTAAAAAAATATATCTTTGCTAAAATTGATAGAAAGCACTGATTGCGCCCTGTTTTATTCTATATTTTTATCTGAAAATAAAAAAGTATTAAAAAAATGATGTGAATGAATGAATGGTACGTGCGTGAGCGTCAAATGCGTACAATATGACGTCATGATAATGTTTTATTTTTTAGAAGTTTTGTACCAGAATGAAATGAAATAGTTCAATAAAATACACCGTTGAGTTTAAAAGTACTTGTTAAAGTCAACAGTGGTAAAATATCTTCCATCTTACTACTGTTTTATTTTTTAAAAATTTTCAAACAACGATCTGACAGATTTTCATACTCATTTTGCATCATAGTTTATATAATTAAAATAATGTAAGGTTAAAGTTCTTCATGTTTACTCTTTTTAAAACATTTTGTTCTGTTTTTCTTTTCATATATTTGTATATTTCTTAAAAAAAGCAACATGAATTTTGTAGACGGCGGTGCGGTTCATATGTTTCTTTTGTTTGGGTGCACACGTGGATAGGAGACTACCGCAACTTTCTGTTCTTTTCAATTCTTGTCTCGACAAAAAAAAAAAACGAGCTATGGGAAGAAAGCACATACTCGACCATTTGAAAAGTACTTATATACACAAAAAATAAGATAACTACAGTGCTCATATTTCAACTTTATGTGTCTAAATAGCACGTAAATGTGTGCTCCTCCAGGGGTTTATCCAAAGTAAGAGTGTGTACGATCGAGGTGGACAACATGTACGTTGATGTTACTTTGTACTTTTTTTTTGGAGGTCACCATTCACCTTTCTTTGTGTGTGTATATCTATCTATGGTTCTACGAGTTTGGCTCTAATTCAGAAGTAATTTCTATCCTTGGATTAAGTGCATACACGTGATCAAAATAAATATCCAATTTTTTTTCTATTGTGTGAAGGGCGAACTATTCAAAGATCCATTCAAAATACTCGTGCGCCGGTGTATGATTGATAATGTGTCCGATGAAATGAAATGTCATGTTTTCTTCTTGTTTTTATTCTGAGCTATAAACATATATATATATATACTGTATGAATGAAAAAAAATTGCACATCTTCGTTGACGAAAGAGTAAGTTGGCTGTTGTACATTGTTTTTTTGGCAAATATTTACTATTTTGTACGTTGATTTCAAAAAATTAAATGAATGAAAGTTATTCACAGCGATCAACAATCGTCTGAGTTTCTTATTTCCGTATGTCAGTACTTCTTTTAACGCTTATGAAAAGAAAATAAGATATTGGAATACATTGTTCGTGTGCTAAGGGAAAGATCTATTTCTGAATAGCTATGAAACTATGTGCTCGACTTGGAAGAATACTTTTCATAGTCAGACATAATTAACTAGCCAAAAGTCTCTGTGAATTCCTCTGAAAAAATGTTTCTTCTAATTATTTTATACGGTTTTTTTATAAAAAAAAAAAAAATTGTATAAAATGTTTCTAAAAACTTATTTTTTCTTTTCATATCCTTCTTATTGCCTTTTTGCTAGTTATAAGTACTTGTGAAAAGGCAATAGGAGGGATATTTCAAAACAAATGGCGTCAGATTTATTTTCTTCAAGTAGTAATATCTTAATATTTTTTTTTGAAACAGCTGTGCTTGAAGAGAGAGAATCAAGAAATATCTATCACGATTGTAATTAATACTCTATATTGATTGTACGTTTTCTGGACTGATATTTGTATTCAAATCGAGATATCAAAGAAATTTGCATACAAAAAATAATCCAACTTTCAATATCCTCAGATTCGACATAATCGAGAAAAGATTATTCAAAAGAAATAATTTAGCTAATGTCTTTTTTTTTTTTTTGGATAAGAGTTTAATACTAGATACGTAGTATAACAAGAGAAGAAGTCGTGATAATGATGATAGGTTTCATCAAGTGTTGTTATATATCTATCTAGTGATAGAGATATATATACACACACACACACATAGAAATAGATCACGTGTGAATATCAACCTATGAATAAACTATAATAGGTGGTGTGATCATTTACTTTTCATCGACGTATGAGGTAATAAGCTAAAAAATTATTGCTGCATCATCATAGGTATATCATCATTGTATTGTTGAGTTGAATATAATAATACATGTACAAAAATACGAACACTTCATGAGTCGAACAGAAGGAAAAGAAAGTTTGATGATACACATTCATTTATTATTGTATAATAGACCGACCTATCCTAAATCTATTTGACTTATGACGTATCAAAATTAAAGATAAAAAATATAATTGTCATTTTATTAGAGAATGAGGTAAAGTTAACAATTTGTTTTTGATCTCAGTCAAGGAGTAAATTGTAACCTTGTTATCAAAGTCAATCTATGTGTTTTTTGTAGTTTCAAGTTTATTCAGAATTCTGTTATGAATAAATTGCATAGTCACTTTATATTGAATGAATTATTCATATGATATCCGATTTTTTGATGCCAAATACTCAGCAAAAGATATTTAAATGTCTCTCATTATTATCAGCTATTGTTTATATTTCATTCAATAAAGTGTATTGTTTCTTTTCTTTGTCAATTTGTCTTTATTTATGATAGAATAAAAAAAAAGAACACATACTCCTACTAAAGAAAATACGTCGGTCACCGTTGTCTCTTCTATATGAAACCATCCTCTTCCTCTTCCTCTTCCATCTATATGTCATCACTATCGCGTTCTTTCTCAAGAATTAACTTTTCTTACTCAGAAATTATGGGGGAGAGGAGGCTCTCTTTTCGCGTAAAAAAAATTTTAAGTTCTCTCTCTCGTTTTCTACTATAGTAATTATTCTATGTTATGTATAAAGAAGGAGGAAAAAAAGAACGAACAATATAGTACGTTGTGTGTAGTTAATAGTACACGATGCTCGTGCTCGTTCTCAGTACTGAATCTCTCTTTCTCTCTTTTTCTTTCTCTCTCTCTCTCTCTCTCTCTCTTTCTCTCTTTCTCTCTTATTTTCATCGAGTTTTTCCTAGTGTTGTTTCTTCTTCCTTTTCTCATTTTTTATTACATTCGTACTATTACATACGTATCACATGTTCAACGTTGATCTACTATAATGACCTCATCCCTGTATTTTAATTTTATATTTAAAAAAACCCAATACAATTATTAATCTTTTTCTCTCGTATTAAACCTGTTCATTCATTCATTTTTTAGATATCTATCTATAAATCGATTATTTTCTTATATATAGTAGACACTATATCTTATATAAACGTAATCTTGTTTCCTTATGACACGTTGCATATTTATTATGTTTAATTTTTTATAAATTATAATTAATAATTCGATGTTATGCAATAATAACAAAAATAATTATCGTAATCGTTTCGTTCATTATTTACTTGTAGCATTAAGTCGTCCTGACACAATACCACCACCATCACCACCACCACCACCACCAACAACAACAACAACAACAATCGAATATACTGACAAACAACAACAACATTTGATGTGCAATTCTGATTACAATACGCAAATACCATTACCAACACCATTGCCATCATCATTATCATCATCCACTTCTATTATTAACAACAACGAAAATAGTGAAGAACATACACTAAATATGTCACCCAATGGAACAGCAAATGGAAATTGTTTATTACACACAACTACGACAACAAATCATCTAGTTAATAGTTCGAATACAGCACAACGATTATTTCATAGAAATAAAGACGATTATGTTAAAGATTCTGTCGATTTATATACTGCTGCATTACATTTAAGGTAAGAAGACATTTATTTATTAAACCCTAATAAATTTTTATTTCCTTTATTAATATCTTCTAATAATATTTTCATAAACTTTTTGTAACTCATCAAGTTTTCAACTGGTATATGTCATTAGATGTATGCCTACTCTAAGTCTATTCGGATAAGGATAGTTAAGTTCCAATTTTTACGTTTATATGTGTATGTGTACGTGTTGTATGTTTTAAATTTTTATGAATCAAATCAATCATAAATACACACACACACACACCTTATAATCAACATGTTTTAACATTTTCCTTTCTCATCAAAAAAAAGAAAAAGAAATGATAATAACACCGTTTCGTCTCCACTTTATATCATCAATCATTTGTTCATTTTCTTTTTCTTTTTTTTGTTTTGTTTTGTTTTTATTTTATGATCGACACAGGTCAATTTTTTTTATGAATTTAACTCGTTAAAAGAAAAGTATCTTCTTCGTTGTCGTCGTCGTCATCATCCATCCACTCCTCTCCTCGCTCCATAAAATATGAAAAAAAAATCAACTCTTTATTCATCTTCACATCCATATGTCATATTCTGAATTAATTGTATAACAATATATATAAGTGCCGTTTAAACCAAATTGCTTAGAAGTTATGACAAGAAACATTATCCGTATGCTAGATAGAGTTTACTCTGTAGGTGCTAGATTCTCATAATAGAAACAAAAAAAAAAAATTGCTACACTTTTAACACAATTAAGTTAATATATTTAACATAATAATTTTCTTTCATTACTAATCAATTGACATATGGCAGTTGTACAACAGAGGGGTTTATTTCAATTATTAGCAACAACGATGTATCTTGTTAAAAAAAAAAAGAAGAAGAATGAACCGTCTTGATCTATCTAGAGAATAATACTAAATGAAAAAATGATGGACAGTTATCATATTTATTTTATACTTGTAAATAGGTTTGATTGATTGGCTCTATCAACGCGAATGTTATTTTGCACGTTTTACCCATGAGAATTGAGAGAATAAGAATAAGAAGAAAAACGGTGTAACAATTAACCCCATTCTATACGGTTATCTTCGTTTATTTATTTATAGAGAAGTAAAAGAATAAACGGATATGTTTGTTTTCTTGTATACAATCGTTTTGGTTGTTATATCAGTACTACTAGTACAACACTTAAAATCGTTTATATTCTCTCAATTCTCAAGAAAGAAAAACGACTAAATTGCTTGTAATTCTTTTAGTTCTGTCATTTCTAAGAAAAGATGTTCTTCCAAGTAATTATAAGTAGAGAAAAAACGAAAATATTAAAGAATTTTGCTGTTTTCAATAAATAATTTTTTTCTCATTTTGAATAAACGCAGGTTTTTATCCTTATTTGGATGATGACAAGTTATTCATTGGTAATGAATAGTTGTAGTTAGATATGTAAACAATAGAGCTATTAAGTTTAATTGAAATCATTTCCATACGAGAGTTTCATTTCAAGAAGTGTTATACAAGATATAAACGTCATAGTCAACAAAAAATCGAGACCTTATTCTCTTTATATCTATTTTATTTCTAAATCCTCCTGCTATCATCGTCTGACTTTTTTTTTTCTCAATTAATTATTTTGTTTTTTTTAGACAACGGTTGAAAGAAGAAGATGTCATAAAGAAAACATATCAGGCGTATTTAGATCCTGAGAAAAAGACACCAGATGCGCGAATTTATAATTGTTTTCAAGCAAAAGAAGCAGTTGACTGGTTAATTAAAAAACAATTATGTCGAAATATTCAAGATGGAACAGAAATCTATCAGATATTACAAGATTTGAAAATTATTCATCATGGTAAGTTATAATTTTTATAAACATTGATTATAGAATTTTGTTATAGGAAATGAATATCACCTCATCTCAGTAATATTTCTTTAGTGTTTATGCTGTGATCTTCCTATCATAATTAAGTATCTTCTTTTTTTTGGGACATCTATTTGCATGATCAATAGTCGATATACGGTTGAATGAGGAAATAACATGTATACTCTAGAGAATTAATGAGTATCCATGTAGTAATTATATTTTCTTTTCTTTTCGTTTTTTTTTACTCATCTTATTTTTCTCTTCTACATTTAAAGTATTTTTACTACAGGATGTCTACGGTCGTTTCTGTTTGGCGTAATGCCAAATGAAATTATTGACAGTAAATTAGACTATTTTCTTGTTTCTTTTATACAAATAATAAGTCCAAAGTCACACATTAATACTACAGACAAACACAAACATGATCTATTATTGGATGCAGTCCAATAGTAGGATATGAACAGAATAAAGCAAAAAAAAAAAAATTAATGGGAGGGAGGATTAGAAGAGTATAGAAACTCTATTTTATCTATGTCATCATCTTATACATATCATTGATAAAATCAATGAATGAAGTAAAAAAAAAAATTTTACTGCAATACAAATGATATTCTCTTTTCTCTCTGGCACATGTATATTTTGATTTTTTTCTAACATACGCATTGACAATATCAATATTTGTACAATGAATTTAAGGACAGTAACAAGACAAGAAGGAAAAAAAAACGAGTCATTCATGATCATAAATGAGATAAAAAATGTTAATTATAGACTTAGGAATGTAAACGTGACGTGTACGCATATATCCATTATTTTTACAAATCAACCGGAAATGACCATAATCTTTCGGTACACAATCAATATGCCATCTTTTTAATGTATTCATTTAACATGCATATAGAAAAAAATATGAATTTTTGTACAACAGTGACAGTAACAGTTTTTAATAAAGAATATACACATCGAGCTATACCTTTTGTTTGGATTTTATCTAGAGCGAAAATATTTCGGTAAGGAAAAAAAGTTGATGCTTTAAAGTACTTGATATGTTGAACAAAACCGAATGAGCTAGGACATGAAGATGATTTAACTCTATCTTTATAAATGACTAGAAATCTAAAGTTGTAAAGATTTTGACAAATCATCGCCAAATTGATGTGTTTATTCTGTTGGGTGATGATGATATTTGCCTGGAAAATTTTTAATTACAAGTCATAGACTAATGTGACGAAGTTTTATGTGTTGATCAATAAATAAATCATTGAATCATCGTATATTATTCTTCCTACATCAGTGTAACCAAAAATTCAGTAGACATTTCTGATTAATAATCATTTTTTCAGCTGGTGAATGTTCTTGCCGCCTACTCTTTGTCTATCAATTATAGTTACTTATGCTATTATCCTTTCTAGAAAGTATACTGTATAATAACTATTCATCTCAGTAAAAATAAGAAAATAAAAAAATATATGAATGAAGTAAAAAGAAAAAGATCTCCTACAGGACAGAATAGGAAGAAAGGACGAACATAAATTGTTTTTTAATGAAAAATATGACTAGGTTATAATGACACAACTTTCAGCTATTTCGCCTCCACATTTCTAATACTAAAGTTGCTGATTTGCTAAACAAGAAAATGTTTTTTTGTGTTTTCTAGTATTTGATCTAACAGAATTCGAATATCCATCAACAGATAATACAAATGAAGCAAAATATTTATTTCGATTTCGTCTTGATGATGGTACTGCAGATCATAATCATTCATTTCAACAGTTTGCATCGATCTACGAAATATATCTATGGTAATATTAAATGCATTTTCGTAGTCAAAGTTCATTCTATTGAACTCATTATTTTGAAGAAGCAAAGTTTGTTCTAACTTTTGTTTTCTATTTCAGTTTGTTTAAATTGGAAAAATCACGATGCCGTGGGGTAGATATGCTACAACAACAAAACTACGATTCAAATGGAATTTCACTAAAAGGAGATAATTTAGCTCGAATGATTTCATTTTGTGTCTCTGGTAATATGGAAACAGTTGACAGAGTTGCCGATGATATGTTATTTTATGGTTTGATTAAATTTGGTACGTGCAATTGTTGATATTCGAAAGACATATTGATATTTTTATGTTGTTTTCTTTTTTTACAGAAAATTCAGAATCTGATTCTGGATCAGTGTCAAATTTATCACCATCATCCACAGCATCCTCGTCTCCATCATCCGTAAATGGTTGTTCTTCTACATGTTTTTGTTCATCAATAATACCCAAATTTCGTAATGATCCCCATTTTTATTATACAGTTAATACACAATATCGTTTATGTTCGAAAAAACGTTTGGATCTAGTTGCTTTGATGAACGGAACACCAGCACTGTTATCATCTTCACCAGGATCAAATGGTTTTTGTGATAGTCCATTTATAAGTTTATCCTGTCGTAAGTGTTATAAGTTGGATAATTTAGCTGATTGATTAATCTTTCTTTCTCTTGTTATTATTAGCTGATCGATTCAATCGTCTATGTAGTACAAATAATCGATCAAATCGAACATATAGTAATTATCATCGTTCAACAACATTAAATAATCCATTGTTTGTCAACTGTTATTCTTGTCATCTTCATAATAATGAACTCAAACATTCAGCAGCTAAAGCATCGCCAACGAATAATCGTCAAAATTCTACAACATTTCAACGGCGGCATACATCAGGTCCATCCATTGATACATGTGATATTATTGATCAACGTTGTATGTCACCGTCACAACAACCTCAAACGATTACTGATAATGAAAGATCTAATTCACCACTCACATCACCATCGTCTATATTTGATACAAATTGCACATGTACATCATCTCTCACTTTTAATTTAAATGGTAGTTCAACACATTATTATGCAATGAGCAGAAGGAAAGCGTCAGCGAGTTTAAATTCACCCTGTTCAATGGGTAGGCTAAATTGTATTCATATGAGATTTCATTTTTTTCACATTTGAATTTCGTTTTATTTAGAAATTCGTCCAACAGCGGAAGAACTTGAAAAACTTCAACCACCTTATACTTGGCGTAGTTATTCGGTAAGATAAATGATTCCACATTTTTTTCCATATCTCCACCTTCAACATGTTGCTTTTCTCTTCTAGTTGAAACGTGATCGTTGTGGATATGGTCTAATTCTTCATGGAAATGGCCCATGTTATGTTGAACGTTTAGATCCATATGGCAGTGCTTACTCCTCTGGGATAAAAGTATGTAAAATTAATATGCAATTGTTTCACTATATCATCTGTAGTTTTTGTCTATAAAAATCACTCGGCAAATATATCACAGTGAACAGACTTTTTCGTTGACAGACTAAAAATACTTTTTATTTTCTTTATATTTAGGTAAACGAATACATCTATGCTGTTGAAGGTGTTAATGTGCTGCGGCGTAGTGGCAAAGAAGTCGAGCGCCTCTTATCTATGTTCGATAAATGTACTCTATACACTGTATATAATAAAACATTATCAACGACAGTCGAAATTCCGACATCATCCATATCTAAATTGACAGGAGAATCCGCGTCTTTATTGACGCTGGACACACCGTCGAAAATAACAGTATCATCGAATAACAGTATCATCGAATAACAGTAATAAACTATTATCATCGTCTCACGTCTTATCACAATCATCCACCACAAACTGTTCACAAGGCTCATCGGCAGCTGCCTCACCAGCATCAATATCACCACCAAAAATTTTGTCAAATCTACTAAACCATAAAAATACAATCGACGTTTTAATAATGGTTTAGATCGAAAAACTTGACTTATGATCGATTTATGTCGTCTCCGTATTACATGCCACCAATCAACGCCACTGCTACAAATGCATTCAAATAAATCTTTATTATTATTTATGAATATATATTTTGTGTATACTCACCAATTTTTTTTCCTGTTCTTTTTATTTATTTGACGTCTGGTTATCTTTTGTTGCTTTCTCTTTTTTGTGTGTGTGCGTGCAGTTTTCTCTTCCGTTTGTTTGTTGTTAAACAAAGAATATTTGTGCTGTTGTTTGCCTTCTTTATTCTTTTCTTAGACATGCATATAAATGTATTTACTAAACATTTTTAGTTACACTAAAAACAAGCATACAAATTCAAAAATAGTAAAATGTTTGATTATTGTTGAAAAATTATAACCCGGTTGTTTCTACTTTTTTTCTCTTCTTATTGTGTGAGTTTGTGTGCTTGAGAAACATATTCGATGTGTTTTTCCATTTGAAATTTTTAAAACCAATTTTTTTTTTTTGTCAAAAGGAAAATTTATGTGCGTGTGAAGAAAAAAAACAAATTGAATTTTTTTTTTCGTTTGTTTGTTGTCGTTTGTCCCAGTTTTCATTTGACAAAAGCCTTTTATCGTCATACATATTGTATACAACATGTACATAAGCTATGACAATCGGAAGAAATGCATCCCCACAAAAAAAGGCAACGATAAGATGTTGTTTGTTGTTATATTCTTTTTTTCTGTCTTTGTTTTCTTTTTTGTATATTTGATCATGAAATGTTCTTTTTTTTGTTTGCTTGTTTGTTGTTTTTAATGAAAGAAAGAAATATAAAAAATGAACTTGAACGTGAAAATGGTTTGATTCAAATCATATGAATCGAATACGTTCAAAGTTTTTTTTTTTTTTAAAGAATAGAGGCTGGCAGTTACAATAGCACCTTTAGTTTGAGTTTATTAGAAGAAAAGTTCAAATATTCGCTTATTTGAGATGACTCTCGTAGTGTCTGTTAATTCTTGAAGGAAAATAACGAGTAATACGTTGGAAAAAGTGAAAATGCATTCAAAACACGGTTTTAGCAGTCAAAGACTGAGAAACATATTATTCTTCAAATGTTAGTTTATTTCCTCATTGTGTTTGATAGGATTTTACCGTTATAATGCGCCGCTACTAAAGTGTTGTTCGCTCAAATTTTAACAGAAATTGGCTCTGCTTTGAATCATGGAATACATGTATAATTTGAGAAAGTATTCTTAAATCACTCAGCCATGTTGTGAAGCTAGTTCACAGGAAATTTGGCCAAAACAAATACAGAGAACAACGACTTTATCCACTCAGTTTTGCATAGGGAAAGATCGTTGTAGTCTAAGTACACTACAAAAGGCACACATATTGAATGAAAACAAAGCCAGTCAGCACTTGGATTTTTATGAAGAGATTGTGCATACTTATTAAAAATGAAGAGCAATAAGCTTCGTCTGTTTTTCTGATAAAATTTATGATGACTGAATTGTAGACAATCATCATTAAATTATTTAGCTTGAATCGGTGAAAACTCGGTCCTTGTGAAAGAGTTTTCAGTTGTTCTTACAAAAATATTTATCTAAAAACTATAAATAACAGAACAATAACACACAACATTTATATATACAAGAAAAACATTATGTTATTATTTTTGAATTGTTTGACGTGTGTTGTTTGACAACATCACATTAGAAGAAATTATACTGGAATAATTTATCAGCACGAATGTTCTAACTATACAAGCAGTCAATAAATACTTTTGAGTGTATATTTTGAAATTGCTGGATGTCTAGAAATCATACTACTGATGTTGAGCTGTTGAAATCAACACTTTTCCTGTTCCTGATCATAACTTTTGTACAAAAAATATGAATTTTTATTTGGGCAGTAATTCACCTTGATACGTGTTGACTTCTAAAATCTTGATACAACGTTATCTTTATCAAGTAATCGCGGTATACCACATCAATACAGTAGAATCTGTCCTGTTGTTTCTCTTTATTTGAATACTTAGGATATACTGTATACCAAAAAATATTTAAACGGTACTGCTCGGGTACGGATACGCACCATTTCCAAACTTTTGTATTTTTCTTTTGTTTCATCGTAAATTTTTATTCAAAAATACAACAAATCGAGGTATCATCCCATTACATGCTGTCAAAAAGTGAAATAAAATTTTTGTATTCTTTGGCATCGATCGGTACCTATAGACTTTTTACTATATTCTTAGCACTTGTACCGCATCGGTGTCCACCATAATATTTTCTTTTGACACAAGTCTATACTGGTGTCAAACTAGTAAATTTTTCTACATTAGTGCACATCGGGACAAATGCCGAGAATATAATAAAGAAATTTTCCAAGTTTTGCACTAGTATGCATTAGTACCAGAAAAATCTATTATTCTTGCACCAGTACGCACCAAGGCTGAATGTAGTTTGCAATAACCGGTTTTGTTTTGTCCACGTCCGTGTATATATAAATCCTACAATATACTTCTAGTATTTCGGATGTCTATTTGACTTTATCCTCTCCTCATAAGAGAAGTGCCGAAGCAGTGCCATGTGAATATGGTATGGCAATGTGGGACTGATATCTATACTCGACGGTATTTTTAATTAGTTTTCGTACATTATTCTGTCAAGATTGTTTTTCTATTCGACGATTAATGAGCTAAAAAAGTTAAAATTGTGTAATCATCCTTTTACTTAGAATAAAATCTGTACATGAACTAACAAATTGAAAATTTAACTTTCTTTTGCTTCTTGTTGTGGTAAACATAAATTATAAAATGAATTTTGATTGAAATTGTGAATATCTTGCCAATATAAATAGCCAGATTGAGGTAATTTTTCGATTGTTGCTTTGCCACAAAAATGTGGATCCTATATTATAATAGACAAAAGCTTTTATGATTATAAGTGAGTCTATAATTCGTATATCGTACCAAAATAAGTATATAGACAGATGTAGCTGATTGAGCTAATCCCACTATACATTTAGAAGAACCATCGAGATCGCCACCTGGTACGAAAAGAGATAACAAGGTATTTTAGACTTCTTTCAGCTAAACCTTTTAGCTATACCCATCATAATCGGACTACCATAGGTTTGAAAATGTTCAGTCAAAGTTGAAATAAACTTGTGCAAATCACACCCGGATCGTATATGTATTATTTTACAATCAACCTAGAAAAAAGTGATATGAAGTAGTATTTATTGCGATAATTGTCTTCACTAACTTGATATAATTCATTGATCACAATCATCGACTCATAGGTGCCAATCCATTGCTTTGAGTTGAGAAAAGAACTTTCTTTATCGTTTAATCTAACTAAGATTTTTTGTATCTCGTGAAGAGTTGGAATTTTCAATTCTTTATCTTCTCTTAACCAAGAACAAATTGTCTGTAAAGTTCGATAACCGCAACCCCATCCCTAAAAGAAAAAAAAACATACCACTTAGTTTTATATGATTTGAGTAGTTAGAAGCATGCATACTCGATCATCGACACCGTCACATACATAATGATAGTACTTAAACGATCCACGCACAGTTCCACTAATAGCAGCACTGTCCGGACACTCAAGTAAAGTGTGAGCATTTCGAAGCAACATCGGCATCTGAAAGTAAATTGTTTGTCAAGAATATAGGACTTATATGGATGTTCAACAAATATTCTAAGAACTATGACTACTTCTTGCTTTTTATCTGATGTTTTGTTTATTTATTTATTTCGAGTATAGAGGGATAAGAATCTTGATAAAGTACTTTAGTTGAGCATTCTTTACTAATAAATCATTTTAACTATCTTTTGTCTATTTAATTGATAATATTAGTAAATGATGTCAATGATACATTAAGGATATTCCCTGGCGCATTTCAGGTTCTTCGTTGAAATTCTGTCGAAATTAAACAAAAATAACTAAGATCTAATATTTTTAGAATAGATCAGACTTTCCTCGATTTTTTCTGTTTTGTTTCAATTCTCTAGCCATTACTATTGGTGAGCTTTCTAAAATTCGTTTTGTGTCATTGTGTTACGTAACGATTCTCCTCCTCAGAAAACTCATTCAATCGGGCTGAAATTTATACCTGAAATCTTTAAAATCATCTCTTTACCGACTTATAGCGAAAATACCGAAAAATCTCTAATAGCTAAGCTTTTTTATTTTTTGTAGAGAAATTGCAAAAAACCTAAAATAAAGAAATGCTTGCTTGTCAACCCAATTTTAAAGATTATTGCTTAGAGCTAGCTAAACTACTCCATCAGAAAGAGGAGACTGATAGTATATGAATCAGTAAAAAAGGAATTTCTTGTTTTTTTTGTCAAAAATGGTGCAGAAAAAGGATATATCCTTAAATTTTAATAGATCTAGTGCTTCTCCCATAAAATGACTAGTTGCTACAATTGACTCGAGGATTTTTTGATTGTTTCTCTTTCAGAATCATTTTTTTAATATTCAGTGACGAATATGTTTTAAAACTGACACAAGAACAGGTTAAAGAAGATTTAAAATTAGATTCATGTATTACGACAATCATATCTTTACAAATTTTTTAATGAGTCCGTTAGGCTGACTTAACGATTGTTTGACTTAACAACAGATTGCTAAACAACAAAGACAAAGCTATAACGATTGACAAAAAATATGCTAGATGTTTTGATCCTCATTTAAGAAAATCTTAAGTTAAATCGTTAAACAGTAGAGTTAAGACTTATTTTCGTTTTACGAATTTAATATAGTTCCATTTCAAAATGCTATTAAACGGTCAATTGCAACTACAACATCTGTGCTAACCGTTATGAATGTGCATCGTTCTCTCATAATTGCTTAAAAAACAATCGTAAAGTTGCTGAGAAATAACACAATGCTGCAGACTATTCATCAGCGGTAAATAACAAAAATGTATGTTACACTTATCTACAAATGGGAAATAAAAATATCATCCATTGTAGTCAAATCGGTGGCGTTTCATCTAAACCTCTCTTTTTTACAAGGTTTTCGTAATCCAAAAGCCCTGTAAATTGACTTTTTAGAGGGCGTTGGTACTAAAAAAATAACAGGGCTTTCGTTCCAAAAACCATCGTTCACACAGGGCTTTCGTAACACTATTAATCGGATCATATCTTCTCTATGAAATAGTCGGTCACTAAGATCACTAACAGGGCTTTCGTAACGATAATGAAGGGATTAATCTCTAGTAGATGCTCTTATAGGGCTTTCGTAAGACTCTTTTATACGACTTTCGTAACGGAGTCTATATGTACTTTTTATCCCAGATATAAATGATAATGCTGTATTATTACAGGGCTTTCGTAACGAATGCTACTTCTTATTGTAAATGAAAGAGAAAACAGATAGAAACAGTGAGAGTGAATGAGTACAATCACACATCATTTCAATTTGAAAAGTAAATATACACTTCGTTACAAAAGCTCTGTAAAAGACTGTTACGAAAGTCCTGTTAAAGGACATTAATCTTCAGCTATTTTACCGTAAAAAAACAAAAGCCCCGTTAAAGAGTGTTACAGAAGCCCTGTCATAGCATCTACTTAGACATTAATCCTTTGCATTATCTTTACAAAAGCCCTGTTTTTTTAAATTTATGTCTTTTTAACATGTTACGAAAGTCTTACTTTTTACCGGGCTTTCGTAATGCTAGGGGACTGAATGAAACCCGACTTTTAAGACCGTCAAAGTTTTAGTTGAAATTAGTCGATTTGCATTGAGTAAATGTTTAAAAAGAAGTATTAAATCAGATGTATTAATTAATTATTTAATTTTTTTTAGATATTTTAGATTGAATAAACACAAATTATTCATCATTGAGCCTATAGATCATCGAGGTTTCAATAAATTATTATTATTATTATTAAAAAAAATGATAATTGTATCAGAAAAAATAAAAGGATATATTCTACAAAAATATCTAAAACGTATACGTTCGGATAAACAAACTATCGATGATGAAAAAACAATTTCATTGCCAAATAAGTACTTCGTATTCAAGTAAAACTACAATCAATAAAAACAATAAAAATCAGAAGAAAAACATCAAGAAATACTTAATCAGAACGGTTTTTGTATTAACGTTAGATTTCTAAGTTGAAATGGCTCAAACATGCACATCCAGTAAAGAAATGTACTATTATAACACAAATAGAAGAATAAATGTGTAAATTATTAGGGACAGCATAGTTCTATATTCTTTTTAATATTTTTGCTGTAAATTTCAGCGCGTCATTTTTGTTTTATTCTCATTGTTGTTGTTGTTATCATTATTTGATGCAATTGATAATGATTTTTCACATCATACTTTGTAAAATGTTATCACACTTCGATTTTTTGTACGCTCTATGGAAGAAAGCGTACTGATTATTAATCATTTTGTATGACAGCATCATCGGATACCCCTCAACATTTATTAATGCAGATAATAAAATTTGAAGAGATTTTCAGATGATAGAGAATAAATCATTTAGAGTAACAGTAATAGTTCATTCCTAGCTATATATTCACAACATACACACACTGATTAACAAATCTGGAATACCTAAAAGAGAACATCCTCTCACGAAAAACTTTGTTGGAAAATCTTAAAAGTCAGCAGAAAACATAATATCTAACATTCTCGAAAACAAATACAGCAACAGCCTGGAGAATTAATAATAGTACAAACTTGTAAGTGATATTATAGAATAGATCAAAAGTGATAAGCAAAAGATTTTCAAAGTAGAAATTTTATAGTCACGTAAGATATTAGTTAGATACGCTACTGTAAAAAAGTTTTTATTCAATATTGCTCAGATTTTCTTGATAAAATATTGTTTTTATCTGTAGAAAAATCTTGCCGGGCATTTTTTGATAAAATAAAAACTGATATTGTTCTAGCTTTACACAAAACTTCTCGAACTGATAGTCAATCTGGATTCAGTCCCGATTCGTCGACACTCACTCTCACACCGCCCCTCCCGCCTCTGAAATTCTTTGATGTATATTCTTTGAAGTGTCCGATTTGTCGACGAATCGGGACGATACGATGATGTGCAAGTATATTAATGAATAATAATCGAAATAGAATTTGATTCTCATTTTACTTAAAAATTAGATAATTTTTGATGAAAATTTCAAACTGAAATTGAACAGTATTCCTTTGCATTTTCATTTCCTGTTAGAATATTACTCATCTATCAGACGAAGTTATTTAAATTAGTCTGCAAGATAGACTGTTATTCTAATATTGGACGAAAACCGCATGACATTTTTATAATCGAGGTAAACTTGACTTCTTATGCTCCGATTATATGCACAGATTTAATCAAAAAACAAAAAAACAATTGACAACAAGTACAGCAGAAATTATCACAATAATATTCGAATGTCTGAATTCGACTCGATATAAATTAGTCGGAGTTGGTCAAAAATTTAACGTTTATGTCAGTGTAATATTACCAAGTGAAATGTGCAGTTATGTCATTACAAATTAATGTTTCTCCAATTTTTTCCTGATTATAGTCATACGATAAAGAGATGAGTTATCGTTAGTTTCTTAGATTTATTTTTAGAGAAATGGAATAAATAAATTTGGACAGATCTGTAACAGTATTTTGATTGAGAATTACTTGAACAATTGAAAACAAGGAACAAAAGATCAACGCAAAAACAAACACATTTTCGTGGAAAAATAAAAAATTTAATATTATAAAAAATATTGTTAAACGGAAACATTCATACTAAATGTTGATTGCTGTTTAGACGTAATAGGGAGATTAGTTGTTTTTTTAGTCAATGAATTCTCACTACTCTTTGTTCGTTTATCTTCCTCATACATCTCTGTTTGACGTTTGACTAAATCATAATAAAGTCCTCTTTTGGCAATCAGTTGATAATGGGTACCTACCGGAAACAAAAATCAAACTAAAGTATGAGATTAAGACAATAAGTAAGTTATTCCACCTTCATCGACGATTTTCCCATGATGTATAACAATGATTTTATCAGCATTACGAATTGTACTCAAACGATGTGCTATAATTAAAACAGTTCGACCAATAACTGTTCTTGAAATTGCATCTTGAACCTAGAAAACGTTCAAATATTAGAATTTCTGTCCAAAAATAGTCTTTTCTGAATTTTAAATTTGTATATTTTTCGATTATCTGTGATTTACCTGTGCTTCTGCTTCAGCGTCGAGAGCCGAAGTTGCTTCATCCAGTAAGAGTATTTTTGGTTGTCGAATTAAGGCACGTGCAATGCTCACGCGTTGTTTCTGCCCTCCAGCCATTTGTTGTCCCTTGCAATTCAAAAACAAATGAAAAATTATATAAACACTACGATCCTATTAAACATACGTACTCTTTCACCAGCCTCTGTCTCATAGCCTTTAGCGAAGTCAGATATGAACATATGTGCATTAGCCATTAAAGAAATACGTTCTATTTCTTGTTGTGAAACCGGTTCATCCATACCATATCTTGAAAAAATAGACTCATATATGCAATAAGTGAAGTTATTTGTCGTCGTACATACTGTATATTATCTTTGATGGAACGAGCATGTAAAACAGGTTCTTGACTGACTAAAGATATCTAGGAGAAAGAGAGTGAGAAAATAAAACCTTATGTTCGCTGAACAAAATCAAAGTTGTCTTTTCCTACTTTTTGATGATAATATTTGTAATCATATTGATCAATCGGTATCGAGTCAACTAATATTTCACCTGCATCTGTATCATAAAAATGTTCCAATAGACTAATACACGTTGTTTTACCTTTAATATAGAAACAATAAGTTCCATGTCAATAATGAGAAGAAATACTCACCACTGCCACTAGGACCCACTAAAGCAACTTGTTGACCCGGTTCAACAGTAAATGACACATTCTAAAAGCAAAATGATATTTTGTTAGATTTATTGATTGTTAATACTTTACACATCATTACCTTTAATACTGCATCCTCTTTACGATTTGGAAAACTAAACGTTACATTTTTAAATTCAATTTTCCCCTCAAATTGATCTGGTTTATATGTTCCATTATTAACAGTTTTTGGTTTACGATCAATATACTAAAATTAAATCTCATCATTATATGGTACAATTTGTTCTTATATTTATATACTTCAAACACTTTTGCTGAAGCTCCAGATGCTTTCATCAATCCCGTATAAACATTGTTGATATTCTGAACAAAAAATAAAATAAAAATAAAATAACACTATTTATATCTATTAATACTGAATGATTCTGCTCACATCTAGAATATCAGCCAATGACATTTGATATAATAAAAATGAAACAAAATTCTGTCCACTTAATTTATTATTTAATACCAAATGACCGCCTATAAAATATCTAAAATCATTTTTTATTCTTATTATTGATAATTTTTAATTACCAAAAGCTAAACTGCCAAGACTCAAGGCAACAGATAATATTTGACCATTCCACTAAAAGAGATGTAAATCATTCCAAGTTAATTAAAACATCAAAAGAAAATCAATGTGGATACTTACCATATAGGCAAAATAATAAAATGCTTGTTTAATAGTCAACTGTCGCACAACATCATTTTGTTTTGAAAATAAGCGAGCTTCTTCATTTTCATTAGCAAAACTTTTCACTGTTCTCACCGTTGATATTGCTTCTTCTGCCAATGAATTACTTTTAGCTAATGCATCTTGAATTTTCTTTTGTTGTGTCTAAAACAACTTATATTTAGTCAAAAAACTGAATTCAAATTTTTTTAGTAAGATATACCTCCATTAAATTTCCATATAATTTTGCTGTACCAAAACATAATGGACCAGTGATAAGTGACAAAATAAATAAACTCCATGATAGATACAACATCATCACAACTGTACCGACTAAAATTGAAAAATATGTTAAAAAGTAGAATTTTTAAGAAGAATCAAATGTGTTATAAATGTGAGATAAACTGCAAACACAATAGCACATTTCTGTTTATGAAATATTGGCAAGAATCGAGTAGTTTTTTCTTAAATCACTAGAAAAAACTCATATGTTACAATCAATTCAAATTCAAGCGCGAATTTTACTTAACTTTTAATCTTACACCATCAAATTAATCGATTTGAGATTTTATTAATTTGCTCTTTTTTTCATTTAATAGCAAAGTAATCATTCTATTTAGTACTTTATTCCTATTACCATAATCATTTTAATTCCAATAAACAATAGTACTGTTACGAATCGAACAATCAAATACTAATTTAATATGCCATTAGTATGACTAGGTGACTTACAACTATCTTCTAATTACCACGTCGAAAAGAAACATGTATTGAAAATCATGTGCATAAAGATAAAAATCGTAATAAAATACAATACATCGATGATATTGAGAACACCACTAGAAAATTATTAGAATTACGTAAAAAATATAGAATAATGACATTCGATGAAAATTTGAATACAACCAAAAAATATACGATGGAAAATTTTATAGTTACTTCAGAAATGATAAATGAATACTCAAATAAACAAACACACGCTATTGTTACGAATAGTTTAATAAATTCTTACGTTGAACGGGATGATGTTGAAAAGCCTCAATCTATGAGAAATGATAATTTATGTGATAGTAGAATGAAGGCACTTTGTGGAAGAAAATTGTGGGTGAAATATATTGAAAAGAAGAAAGAAAATCAAAATAGTAGCAACACAAATGAACTAACAGAAACTTCAAATGTTTTGTTACCAATATTAACAGAAAATGAAGATATAAAACGTGAAAAATTGGACGAAACAAGTTTTAAACAATCAAAAAAATCTACAGTCACTGGAATGAGAGGTAACAAATAATATATCTTGTGATCCAGAAAAAATTGTGGAAAACGTGAAGTATTTGCATTTGATGTTCTTACTCATAACGTATATATTCTTTCCTTGATATATCAAACTCTTTATACTTAAATCGTAGACAGCAGTCAAGACATGTGAGATTGTACCAATAATTCTGAGCTGAGATGAACTCATACATTTTACACTCAAAACGGAAATACTCTAGTTGATGCCACTCATTACATTATGTACAAAATCAGATGTTCACAAATCGAAAACTTTTTCAGATAATATTCAAGTAGAATTAACAAAACGTTTTGTTCAATTGTTACACAATTTTATTCATTCGAAACAGCGTAGTTCATCAACTGAAACAAAATTGAAGATAAAAAATTCTACAACATCGACAATAGACACTTCTTCATCGTCGTTCTCATGTTCAAGTTCTGAGAGTACAATAAGAGAATACACTCGAACATCGACTTCTGTATCTATGAAAAATTCATCAAGTTCATCTATTAATGAAACAACTACAGCATCATCTTCAGCTATCACAGCTGCTTCATTTGATACCTCCACTATCAAGGGTGAAAAACACTACTCGTTATCTGACGAATCTGAAACTTCAATGAAATCATTAGAATATCATTATCAGTCAAAAGGAGATGATAGACGGACAGAACCGAAAGTTCAACAAATACAAGAAAGAGTTGATCATGCTCAACGTATGTACTGCCATTTCCTACTAAGTGAAGATCAACAATCTAAAGAAAATATTACAATCCGACCAAAGATAAATGTTGACGTTAATAAACATCGAAAACAGAGGACGATGAACGTAGATTATCAAACATTCCAAAAAAAAAACAAGAGAATAACAAGAAATTAGATACTAAAAATAAAATAAAACCTGACAATTTTGAACATAAAATGAAAATAAAAACTGCACATAAAAAATCTCAACAAAAAAAAGAAAACAAATATTTTAGATTCACAAACAAATCTAGGTACCATTCAGGTTAAACCAAGGTAGTTCTACGTTAATAAAATTTATAAACTATTACATTCTATAAAAAAAAGAGATCTTGACACGATGTAACCTGGCTTTTGAATAACCAATAGTACTAAGTTTTCAGGTGATAACTATGAAACATTGAAAAGTACAAATTATCATTACATAACAAGTGATCGATCAAGTCAGATAGCGTTCTAACTCGAAGTAACAGAAATACTATATCCAATGGGCAACATCAAGTATAATATGAATGTCGAATTATTTCAAAAAACTTCAAATGACCAGATAAGATGAAAACAATGATCGCTAACAATGATAATGATAATTCAATATTATCGTCAAAAAGTAAGAATCAAGTATGCACAATTGATATGAAAAGACAGAAAAAGAAATTAAGTAATTTCTGAACATATTCAATTGATTTCATCGTTTTCATTTTATTTCAACAAAGGCGTTTAATGGGAGTAACATAAATACAAATAAATCATTATTGGTATCTACATCAGTCTTATCAACTACCATTCCTTCTACAACTACTTCTACTGCAAACACATTATCATAATCGAATGAAAATTGACTTATTTAAACACTAAAAAGGCGGTAAAAATTGAGAATTTAGGTGATGAATCGAATATTGTCAAAAATCTTCTTTTAACCTTTTGTTTCATTATAGCTAATAAAATTGAAGATAAACGAACGCTAAACATCGTTGTCGAATCAAAAAATCAGTTGAAAAAATTGATGGATGTTCAGACAAAGTATAACTACTGATGACGACGGAATGTTGAACTACAATCACAAACTAAAGGATTTAAATCTATTAAAAGTTCGATCGACGGAAGAGACCTAGTTGAAGTCGATCATTCAGCATAATATCAGAGAACAAAATTTATGCATCGTCATTATAATTCATCGTACTTCTCGTCTCAATCTTATCTTTAATATGTGGGTCAATTGTATGGGACACAAGAAAAAAAAGAAGCAAAAGAATTCTCACAGAATGAACTGAATAAAATCATTCATCCTGTATTCTGTCTTTGACATACATTAATTTATGACACAGTATCTGTTTTTCCACATTACTGCTGCAGAAATTTGTCACGTTTAAATTGAAAATTATCGCTGAACGTAGAACAACATCGAAAAACTATGGCACTTCAATTGGTTATTGATTCAAAAATTTGTAATACTTACCAGCTTTAACTGTTGAGCGTAGAAATACATTAAAATTTACTGAAATTGATTCACTAACGGTTGAAATGTCAGATGTTAAACGTGATGTTATATCGCCTAAAATGAAAAGAATCCACGTTTTCTCTTTTGATTTAACTCCTTTTCTCTATTTACCAGTCTTCGTTTCATCAAAAAATTGAATATCCTGTGCCATGATTCTTGAAAATAATTGATTTCTTAATCGTTGTGCTAAATTCGTCATTGTTATAGTGAACAAAAACCCTCTTACGCCACTGGCTATAACACTAAACGAAAAACAACTCTGTGAGAAAATACGGTCAAGATCACATGATATACCTACTAAGCCACAGATAAACCGAGGTACCAGATTAGATCAATTTTAAATGCTTGTATATTATGGTCTGTAACAACAGAATTTATTATTTTTCCTGAATATAACGGTAGGAATACTTCGCCTGTAATGAGCAAGAGAAACGATTTGATAATTTAGAGAAGAAAAAAATAACAACAAATAAAATGACTTACATGCAGCAGCTATAAGTAAACATAGAAACCCTAGACAATACAAACGCCATTCAGGAAGACCAACTTTCATTATTCGAAACCATGAGCCAGTTGTCTCTTTTACTTTTTCTGATAAATTTACATTATTATTGACATTCTCACTGGTATCATTGGATGTTTGTGTTGTATTTTCTTCAACGTATGATCGAGAAACTACTATTAAAACAAAGAGAAAACAAATAGAACCAAAATCTTAAGCAAAGTCGCGTAAATAACCTTCTGTATACATACCATCATGATTGATTAATCGTTGTCGTTCAGTGTCGACTTGTTCAGATTCTGTTACTGTTGGATATGACTGTTTGATAATTGAAAATAATATATGCCATACAGCTATACCAAGTAAACTCGAAAACGATACAAATCCAACTGTCAAAAAATCCCATTTTGTGAATTGTTTTGGTAACTGTTGAGGTGAAATTTTAATGTTTGTATACTCATAATAGATCAAAAATTTAGTTAAACTATAACCATAGATAACTAATTGAAACAGGGTAAATACAATACGATAGCGTCTTAATAAATAAGCTAATTTTTGACGAGGTTTAATGAAGAGCAACAGTGGTAATGCGATGAATAGTAACGAATCGAGTAGAACAACAAATAATATTTCAACGTATGTATGTGTATAATTGAACGACTTTAATGTTTGACAAATATTCAAATCGATTTGGTGAAAACCATTTGTTAAAAAACAAAATGTCAACAAAAATATACAAATACCATAGAGAGATGGTATTAAGATCAATAAACGTTTCCATTCCAGCATTTTCTTAGCTAAATAAAGAGAATAAGAATTTATGCATTAGCTACAATGAGAGAAAAATCGAAAAAAAAATAATCTTCTTATTTTATATCGAAATATATCAAAAAGTATATTTCTTAACTAAATTGTTCTACTTTAACAGCGTAAACTGATATGCTCGTGTTTGTTTTGATTGTAACTATTCTTAAGTCTAAGTTTCATTGTACAAAATTGACGGAGTAAAAAATGTTCATCTTGTCATGTAAAACAGTGAAGTTGAACGAACATTGACTAAAGCAAAACATTTACTAAGGCAAAGTGTAATATGTTTCCCTCAGTTTTCTGTCAGGAAATATCTACAACAACAGTAGATTGAGTACAATTTCATATTCTGATTAAATAGAAGTATTTATTCAAAGAATTTAGTCTGCTTACGGCGCTATTCGTTCATATTTATGATAAAAATAAATACTTACAGAAACACACATCATCGCATAGTGGGCAATTTTCACTAGGCATATGGTCTTTTGACCTGCAAGATAAAGGAAAGCTTAAAAGCGCGTTTTTTATAGATTATCTTGTGTGTTCTATCTAATGGAATGCTTTTCGGGTTCTAAAAAGCTTTCTAAGTGGCTTTCCAGAGGCTCTCTAGATGATCACTTAAAAAACCTTTGAAAAACTGAAAAACAATTGCACTGGATAGAGAATCATCGATAACCTATAAAAATAGTGTTTAGACGATTTCATCTGTTGATAATTTCAAATTTTAAAATTTCAGTCAAAAATCCCTATACACACATGCAAGAAATAAAGGAATCAACTAAATTCAAAAGTTTCCGTACAAACACTGCTGAATTATACACAATTCGACGCAGTTTTTTGCGCTGATTCCAAATATATGATTAGTTTTTAATTTGAATGTTCTTTAACTGAGATAATCCGGATTTATCTCAAAAACCTGTAACTCGGCCCAGAAACATTTGCGCTAGTTTGCGCTAACAGCATCCATGTATCGTTAGTACATGCATCTTCTGTAAAAATTCCGGTGAATTTGGCACACTCACTGTACGGAGGACCGTTCTTCGGAAACACTTAGCAGAGAAAGAAACATTATTTTCTCGGTTTCAAAGCGTCCTCCAAAAAAAACTTTTTTACAAATAGACAGAGTGAAAGATCTAGTTTCGGAATATGTATGATTTTTACAATTATTACGTTCTGTTTTACTAAAAATGATTCTTCTATCTTCATTGCTCTGTTTTCTGGCAAAAAATTTCTTAACGATTTTCTCACTAACTATAGAACTTAGAAAAAACTTCCAGTGCCAAAAAGATAGTGCGTATGCTGAAATATATGACCTGCTATTCAAATGTTGAAAAAGCGCACTTTCGTTTTTTCACCTAAATATGATGTTGGTTGCCCACTGTGCATCGCACAGAAAACGATTTTAATACAGTATTGGGAGAAAAACGTTGACATCAGCAATGTACATGACACATTCTGTTTCACGTGCATCGACAAAGATGGGTGAGCACGCATATCCAACCAAACGCCCCCCCCCCCTCT